TAGATAATGATGATGACAGTGATACATACATATATACACACAAACAAACAAACAAACATACATACAAACAAACAAACATGTATATACGTGTGTCTGTGAATTATTAATGTATATAAAGCAAAAGTGTTAAGTATATTTTTCAAATGCATAGCAATCATTTGTCTTAATTATCGGCGTCATCACTCATAAAATGTTCGCGTGTATGTTTGCTTGTATATGTGTATGTTTGTATGTTTCATTGTATGTTTTATTGTATGTATGTTTGATTTTTTGTTTGTTTGTTTGTTTGTACAAATGTGTTTATAACGGTATTTCATTCATATGAAAAAAGTAGTTCATTTAAAAAAATTGTTCACGGCAAACAAACATACACATAATCAAACATACAAACATACAAACATACTTACAAACAAACAAGCGTTCATACAAAGATACAAACAAACATACATACAATCAAATATGCATACAATCAAACATACAATGAAACATACAAACAAACGTACATAAAATGAAACATAAAATGAAACATACAAAAAGATATACAAACAAACATGCATACAAACATGCACAGGAACCGGATAAGATTAATATTAGCAACTAATGCACCGTGATGCTCTTGTTACGTAATATGAATTCCTTCTTTGTTTGTGTGTGTGTGTGTGTGTGTGTGTGTGTGTGTGTGTGTGTGTGTGTGTGTGTGTGTGTGTGTGTGTGTAAATTAACATCTTCCTTTATTTCACCTAGGCTTAACTGATTGAAATGCAATATAATTTTAAAACAATAAAGCGATGCATAAATGAAATAAATGAAAAAATTAAATTTCACGCACATCCCTCCTTCATCACGTGGTCTCAGTGGTGACCGGAAATAACGTTCAATGAAAGCAGGCGCATGAATAAGAGATGACCTAGTTAACCATAAAATAGACCGGAAGTGATGAATGAGTTTTGATGGATGGATGGATGGATGGATGGATGGATGGATGGATGGATGGATGGATGGATGGATGGATGGATGGATGGATGGATGGATGGATGGATGGATGGATGGATGGATGGATGGATGAATCGATGAATGGACAAATGAGTGAATGGACAAACAAAAATACACTAATTTTTCAAAAATTTTATGATTCAGTCATTGGAAAATATTATTGACTTAATTTAAACAAAAAATTAAAAGCCAAGTACTACTGCTGCTGTTGTTGTCGTTGCTGCTGCTACTTCAACTACTACAGTTTACAAAAACAATAATAACAACAATAACAATTATTACATTTGTTGTGACAACTATTGTAAA